CAATCAGCTGCTTACATAACACATTGGTGATTTCCAAATATGATCTTTCTCAATGGCTCTGCCTTCCCTAGTTCTAGCATAAAAATTTTCCAGGGTGCCCATACAGTTTTCTAGGGTTATTTTTTACCCCAGGTTCTTCTGTTGGCTAGATTAACATGGAAAGCTGTGTAGAAGGGAGAGGGAAAATATCTGGGCTGCCAGCAGAGACACATTCCAAATTCCTACTGGGAATGAGATTATTCCCATAGATGGAAGTGCTACTTACATGACAAAAAATAAAAGCATAATGAGCCCTTTATATAGACTGTTATGCACAACAGTTATCCCACAGCAGAGAGTTTAATCTTTCCCAAATTTAATATCAGATCAACATTTCTCACAGAAATTTGGTCTGCACAGCACAAACACAAATGTGTCTGAAGACTCAGAGTCCAGATCTTACATGATCCTGAACAGCCCCAAAAAGCACTTCACAGCAAATCCAACTGGGAGACCATGGCAAAAACCTCAGCCTTGATAGTCAGACACGGCCATGCTGAGTAACCTCTATGGCCTGATGCTGTGTCCGTCACAGGGCTTTACGCCACCTCTGCTCCCTTACTGACTTGTAGGGGACAGGACCACACTGGAAGGATTTCCCCTCAATGCTTCTCATTCTTGGCAGACCATGAAATAGCTTCTATGTAAACCTTATGAACTTGTGTCTTTTCTCTTCCTTGACACTGGGATTTCTGCTCTTCCAGGGAAAACTCAACTTTTGCCTAGGAAGCAGCCAACTTACTCAAGGAACTAAATTTCTTCAATTCCAATTTTTCAGTTGCTCATATGGCCAGACTGCCACTGTACAAACATTGCAGTTCGGACAGGTAGCCAAATCAAAGCGTGGCTGGGCAGTGCAGGCAGAGCAACAAGTCCTCTTTCCAGTGAAGCAAATAGGAAAAGGATTTCAGCTCATGATTACTACTAGAAGTTGAAATAAGATTTATCTCCTCTGGTGCTGAAATCAGTCTAGAAGATAGGACTCTCAGCTACAAATTAGGAGGAGATGGGAGTGCTAAGGGCAGTGGGAGAGGGGAGCTGTTCACAACAAAAGAACCCTAGCCAACAGCACACTTACCCTATTGATGACAAATAACATTGTGACAAACTCCTTGATAATTCTAAAATTAAAATATCAATCCCAGGAAGCACTAAATACCAAAGTGTAAAAATATTCCTGAATAATTAATCTGAGATCTTACTATCAACTCAGGCCAAACAGAACACATTTACCTTTGTTTGACTCAATTACAATCCTGTTCTTCCACACAGACAACAGCACAAGCAGCTACTTGACTCCAGGCGCATCACTTGGAGACAGAGCAGGACACATAAGCTCTCTCTCATCTCACCAGTGCAACCACTCTATGCTGGGACACTCAGAGCTGTCAGGGAAACACACCAGCTTTCTCTCACCCCAAGTCTTCTAATCTCTCATTCCCAACAATTATGCCTTCCATGTTGCCCAAGAAAGTATTCTCTTGTGTTTCCATCAAAGTCTAATGAGTTCTCCTAGTTGCTGCTCTCATCATCACAGATTTCTCACTCCCATGTTAATTAATCCAGAAAGGAAATAAGACTTACTAAGTGAATTTCAAAGTTATCACAGAATCACAGAACATTCTGAGTTGCAGGAAAGCACCACACAAGGATCATCAAATCCAAGTCTCAAGTGAATGGCCCATATGGGTATCGAGCCCTCCACCTTGGCTCCACTAGCACAGTGCTCTAACTAACCGAGTCATCTTATCCCAGGCTGTGACGTGATAAAGGACACCAGAGAATGCCAATATTTATTATCCCTAGATAGGATCAGTCAGCTGAAATAACCAGTTGCTTAGCAAAAATCAAATTTAATGTATGCAATTGTGAGAGTCTGCTTTCCTTTTACTCCATGATGAGACATCAACCATGTTTACTCAGGCCCCCGGTTGCACATTTTCTTTTTCTGTACATTTTGATGGAATAATCATGCAGCCCAGCAAGGGAGGTGAACACGTCAGTGGGCTCCTCATGAGCTCCAGGCAGTGTGTGCCTAGGATCTGGGCTCTCTGGAGCTCCTGCAGACAGACAGGAGCAGGGACATTCTCCCCAGGTCTGTATACTGGTGTCCATGTTGTCTTTCCTTGAGGGGCTGCCTCCTGGTTTGGAAACAAGTACAAGCTTTCACAGGAGCTATTTTCACTTTGTGGTTACTGTGAACCAGGAAGATGAAAACACCTTCCAGTGATGGAGAGACTGTTGTGAACACCTGAGTACCAGAGAGGGAAACGGAAAATCAGATGGAGAGGGTGTCCACATGAGCAAGAAAATAGCACGCTTCAGGCCAAGTCCTTTGCAAAGAAAAAGAATGATCAGGAAGGAACTTGTCTGGGACCAAGAGGAACAACAAATCAGGGAAGCCTAAAGAGCAAAGGGCAAAATCAGGAGGAAGTTGAAATCAAGATCACTTTAGGAGTGGATAAAATATAAATCATTCTCCCACTGTGTTTCCTTATCAAATTACATTAACAAACTCTTACAAAAACAGGCAATTTTTCTGATCCATACTTCATCAGCAAGGACCAACCTGCTTAACCTCTGTCTTAAGCGAGAAGTGGGAAACTTTGTTTTGTCAACCACTACACCCAGATACATTGTTTTCCAGAAGTAATTTATCAGACTGCAATTAGTAAGGAAATACGTCTCCTCCTTTTCCTCTGTAGAAACCCAGATTAGTAAGGCTGGGCCTACAATCCTGTTTTTTTTTTCCCAGTTCTGCCTGTCCACTTCCTTCTCGCAAGGCAAAGTGACTCAAAGCACCAATTTCACTTTATTACCACCTCCCGGGATGCTCACGGAATATGGTCATCAAAAAACAATCGAAGTGCTTTCAACTTGAAGCTGCAAGACTTTTAAGCCTTTCTGGGTGAAAAAATACTGGTCATCAACATGCAAGTTCTTGTTCAGTGCGGATTCTGCCACTAATTTAAATCCATCTTAAGGAAAAAAAATCCAGACAAACCCCCACCATACATTCTCTTTGCTTCTAGCTTAACTTCTTTCCTTGACATCTTGTTATGCAACAGACTTTGAGTACAGCTGCCACCATGCTTTCAAAGCAAACAGCATTTTAGTTAGCAGAGCAGCAGCTGGGTGACACAGAAGTGAAGCAGGCAGGCACATGGCGTGAAATGATACGGAAAAGTCAACTAGAAGCATCCCAAGTCTACTTCTCAGACTTGGAAACTCGAAACAATGTGCAGAGGCAAAATTCATGGGTTGGTGAAGGATAAGGAAAAGATAAAGGATAAAAACACAAGCATGCATTCACTAGTTCAGAGGCAGCTGAAGCAGCTGCCTGACCTTGGGCTGGGTGGTCAGTGTGGCAAGGCAACAGGAAAACACTCAAAACATCCAAGGCAAAAAAGAAGTCATTCTCACAGTATGATCAGAAGTGATTTTTTTTTTTTAAATTCTATCTTTTATAGGAACCAAGCTCTGCATATTGGAGGTTTGAAGACCCTCTCTGCATCCCTGTGGTTATGTTACCTCTCACAGACACTTTATCTTCCTGTCCCTTAAGTCAGCACAATTCAGAGTAATGACATCCTTGAGCATGTCAGGGATAAAATAACACAGACAGGAGACATCTGTAGGAACTAAACAATGCATTGTGACTTGAAAACAAAAGCAAACATTTTGACAGGTTCTAAGGACCAGGCTGTCAGCCTAAAAAAGCAACCTTTTGTCGATTTTACAGTGACTTTGAGGTTTCCCTGAGGAAACATGCTGTTTTGCATATGTTTACATTTTGTGAAGTTAAGCGTGGCCAATCTACTCTTTCTAAGGCCACTTAACTGTGACACCGTACCTCAGCCCCAGCCTGAACCACCGCAGCCCAAACTGTTTGCTTGCTGCCCTGCTCTGTCAGCACAGCCCACCCTGCAGCTGGGGGCTTAAGGAGCAGTTGTGCCAGCTGTGCCAGGAGCTCCTGGGCCAGGCAAACAGCCCTTCTGCTCCTGCGCATGGAAAATGCTGCTCCTCTTCCTGTAGAAACCACAGCGTGCCCTGTACTGTGCTCAGGGCCGCAGCACTGCTGGCTCACTGCTTTCTGATCTGAGAGTGTCAGATTCTTAGAATCACAGAAGAATCTGGATTGGAAGGGAGCTTTGAAGGCCATCCAGTCCAACCCCCCCTGCAACGAGCAGGGACATCTTCCACTAGACCAGGTTGCTCAGACTCCATCCAGCCTGACCTTGAATATTTCCAGGGATAGGGCATGCACCATCTCTCTTGGCAACCTGCTCCAGTGTTTTACCATTCTCATTATAAAATACTTCTTCCTTATACATAATCTACATTGACCCTCTTTTAGTTTAAAACTGTTATGCCTTGTTCTATAGCAACAAATTTCCAGGAGAAGGAACTACAATCTCCCATTGCTCAGGGTGAGTGAGGTATTGCAGCAACAAGACTTGCACCTTTGGCCAGCATCCAGGAGAAAGCTCCTCAGAAGCCACCACCAGCAACCATTTGTAACCTTGAGAAAATAAAAAATTCATGTTGCAATCTCTGGAAAACCTCTGGAAATCACTGACTATTGTATTTCACCAACAAATATAGCTCTGACAAGCACATCTAGGACACAGTCCCATGACATTCAGCTCCTCTAGGGATACAGTAGTATTGACACATCCTTTTAACTACACTCAAGTTTCTCTTCACACATTCACCACATCTTTTAAGAAGAAAAGTGGAAGCTGATGTCATGACAAACAAAAATTATTGTGGCTTCACAATTGATCTCAAAAGGCCACATGTACTAAAGAGTACAGTGAGTCATTACTGCTTTTCCTAAAGTAATTAGTCATACACTTAGAGCTCATGAATAACAGCTTCTTTCTTTGATTTATAAAATCTCACAAGCACTGTGCTACAAATGAAAGAAATGATGCGGCCTTATGTTCAATTTTCTTTATTTGGCTTCTTTTTGTTCAAGGAAATACAGAAAACAAGACAGACAATGTATCAATAGAACACATAACTTTAGATAAAAAATAATTAAGCAACACACGTGACACAGACAATAATTGTAAAAATACAGAATACACTGTTTTAATTGACTGAAGGTATTTTCAAATCTGAACTAAACTTCAGCTGCTGTGGTCAAAAATACTTCTGTAAATTTATCTCAAAAGTTTTGTTCAAAACCTTCTTTTAAAAAGAAAAATTAGCCCAAAACACCCTAAAAGCCCCATGAACTCCCATTTTCTGTTCAGGAAGGAAGCTAAATATAAATCAAAACTACTACAGCTTTCAATGACACATTTCTGGTATCTCAAACAAGTAGAAAAAAAAAAAAAAAGGGACCAGTTGGTGTTTTGGTTGGATCAGATTTTTTTTTTTTAATTAGAAAAAGTGAAAGGTACAAATAAATAATTCATATTGCATCTACAATAGTAGAGCAAACACGACCCCTCACATCCTCGGTAACTCAAGCAGACAGACACACTGAAGTTTTTACCAGACTCTGTACAGGCAACAGCTCTAGAACCAGCAAAATACCTGCTCTGAGCACTGAGTCCTAAGTTTTAAGTCTCCATTGTTGATTTTTCAGCTTGATAGTTGGTACCCTTAGTAAACATATGACATAAAAAGCACAGTCCAAAATTCTATGCACTCTGGTATGAAGGAGTATTTCACACGCACGAACAAATGCTCATCAAAGCCAAAAGGAAAGACAATACTGTTAGTGATCCGGATACAATGACAAACATTCAAACAGAAACAAGACTGAGAAACACCTTAAACTCTAGCACTCATCAGCTGAACAAAAAATTACCAGAGGATCCCCTGCAGTCCTCTCATCTGTCTGTCCTGTCAGTAAAAATGGGCCACTGAGAAGGTACATCCAGGGGCAGACTTGCACTGAGCAATCTTTGCCCAGTGGGGCAGGCGCAGAGCCCCGTGAAAGTGTTCATGGTTTATCCCCATGCTGCCATGGTTTATCCCCAGCCAGCAACGAAGCACCACTCAGCTGCCTGCACAGTCACCAGGAAGGAAGGGGACAGTCAGAAGGACAGCCTCATGAAGGGGCTGCCAGAACCCAGGCTAGCTCTTACAGCTCCGGCACCACGCCAGGAGTGGGCAACTGCCTCGGTATGGGCATTCAACGGAGCAGAACCTTCAGAGCCACTTGCTCTAAGGTGCCAGACACAAGCCAGGACAGGAACCACACAGAGGAGAAAGGAGGAGGCTCGCTGTCTTGAGCTTCCACAAGGAACAGTTTACTCTAGAGCAAGGGAGCAGGATAGAAATCCTCCAACAGTGCTGTGCAGTAGTTCTGTTCAGATACAAGTCAGGGGGTGGACACTAACAGCTAACCAATAGGGAATTCTCAGGGCAGGAGTGACGGGATTACATCCAGTGTCTGGGACCAATTGGGGCAGGAGGGTGGAGAGGATGGGTGACATGTGCCAATGGCGCTTGGAGGAGTAGCTGAATTTCAAAGGGGGGTTGCAGACAGGGATGGGATGGACCCAAGGTTTAAGTGGCAGAGAAGCTTTGGGAATCAAGGGCTGGGTTGGCTTGACAGGCAGGGATAGAGCTGGAACAAGGGGCAGGCAATGGTATGAGGGACAGCTTTGAGGGAGGGTAAAACCCAGGGGTAAACCAACTCAGGGAGAACATGGGGGTACAACAGAACACAAGGCATCAATAAAATAAATTCGAACCACAACGACCTCATACTAATGTCTGTTAAGAAAATTAACTCTGTCCCAACCAAAACAAGCACAAGGCAGAAGGCATCTGGAGCCTTCAAGACCTCACAAAGATGAGGAGCTGCAGGGCAATGCCCAGGAGTGCTCGGCACTCCTGCACAGCCTGCTGCTGCCCAGCCATAGGGGGCCAAGCACCTGGAACTTGGAGCCTGGGAATGGCTGGATCGGCAGGCTTGGGCTGGCAGTGATGAGCAGCTTGGGACGGTGGGAGAGAAGCTCCAATCCAGCCTGGGACAGGAGCAGAATTAGGTCCCAGCTCCTAAGAATAGTGCAGTGTCTTTATCTGCTACCAGCAGCATGACAAATCAGTAAGCTCAGTCTCTGTAAGACTGCCAGCTGATACCACTGCAGCCACAGTGGCGACACGGGACAGTGAGCTCAGTGTGTGACATCCCACCCAATGAGGTCCAGCCATGGAATAATGGCTTTTGGCCAACTAAGAAATTTATCTGTGTTTAAAAAGACACAATAAAAATGGATGAAGACAGGGAAGACTACCTGGAACAGTGCATAAGATGAGCACAAAAACTATTGACAAAATCCATGCCTTTTGACAGCTGAGCAAAGAGTAGGATAGGGACAATGTTTCCACTACTGGTCTTTGTAACTACCTTCTCCTCACTTATATATTTAGCCCGATCACACACATTCCCAAAAAAACCCAGAAAACACAGAAGAAAACACTCTAGGATTAGAAAAAAGTCAAATAAAGTAAATTACTTACATATTATACAAATTACTTACAATTCTTCTTTCCAAATTGTGGCTGCCACTGCCTTTATTTAGTCACCTGCTTGGAGACCTATTGCTCTTCCCCATAATTTTGCCAAATGCTGTGTGGTTTGGGTCCTGTGATTTTGAGTCCAGCAGATCTTTCCAGAGAAAAAGGAGCCATAACAACGGAGCTATAACAACTAAGATAAGAGAAGAAAAACCATGACAGGAAGGGGGTGATGAACTCAAGAGTTGCTGCAAGTGAAATTGCAGACAGATGTTGGCAAAAATTAAATCGCTCTCTACTGCAAGAGCAATTAGGCGCTGGAAGAGAATCCCCAGAGAGTCTGCAGAGCTTCTACCCATAGACATTTTCAAAACTCAACTGGAAGAAGACAAATACATTTTGCCCAGCAGCAGCACCAAGAGTGGCATGGGCAAAGAAGGTTTTGCCTGACAAAATCTCCTCCTCTGCAGAATAGCAGACCAAGTGGTCCCTCCAGTCCTACATTTTAAGATTAAGGGCCCAGACCAGATAGCAAATGTTGTGTTAGTCATTTCAGTGATGAACTCAGCTTCCAGACAGGGCAGTGTATATGATGTCTTCTCCTTTTTTTTGCTGCTTCTTTCCAGCCAGTCAAGTCACTATGTGCAATGTTGACTTCAGGCTGCTAGCTTTTAATGATCTGGTAGATGGATGGAAATTCTCAGGGATCCTAGGAAACACAAAAACAACCCCAGGAAAGGATGAGTCATGGCCATTCTGTTGCTGTCTCAGGTTTTGCTTAGTGCATTTGCTGTTGGGACAGGAGGAAGAGAAATGCACAGCGGGGAAAGCGGGGAGCAACCCACCCTTTGGTAAGCAACTTCCCTGCTTTTTTAATTCTGGATATCACACACTCTGCAGAATTCAGAATGTGACATAAGGAATATACAAAACCCTGAAATTATTTTTAAACTGTGAAAAGTAAACCAACTTTCCTCACTAGTAATAATACACCAATTATTAATTAACTCACATATATTGAGTATTTAAGTAATTTGATATTTCATAGTATCTTTTATATGTTTGAGATTCAGTCTACAACTCTACATGGTTTTGAAGACAATAATAAAATATATGGCATCTTTACTTTTCGTGTAGAAGACTATGAAAGCGGTTCCTTATCTAATAACCCTTCATTCAGACAAAGTATTTTGTAAAGTACTTTGGAATTGAGTTTATAAGTAGTTCTTATCAAGGAAGTGAATGAAAAATAATGAGGCAACTATCCACATATTACAGGAATGCTATTTGTTCTCCCTTTCAGCTGCCAGCCATTTTATTTTCTTGTTATATACAAAGCCCTGTTGTTGGAATGAAAAGGAGAAGGAAGGACCAGAAAATTACTTCGTAATGCAATATGAGCACAAATATGATGCACAGGATAGGAACTGTACTAGTCACATATACTAAAAGCCTCCCTGTTTGCAAAGAACAGGCTTTGTGTTCTAGTCACATAGCCTCCTTCAGATGCACAGGACAAACTCCAAGATATTTCCTACATCACCACCTTCATCCTGTCAGTAGCACAACAGTATTGATTTAATCCTTCCAGACAAAAAACCCCAGCCATGGCCCAGGAGACCAGAACTCACCCATGTGACCTCCCTCTCCTTCCTCCTCCTGGCACTCCCCTTTCCTGGCTCTTCTAAAAGGAAGGCAGGATAAGGAGCATGCTTTTCCCAGAAAAACATGACAGGGAAAACAAACAAAACACCAGCCATCTCTGTCCTTCAGAAAGAAAACAGCACCAAAGCATGGAAAGTTTGCAAAGTGTGCCCATCCTCCCTCTATATATGATACAGACCAGAGGGTACTGCCAGGCACATTTCTGTGAACAGAAAATTAGGTGTAATCACCAGGTAACAGAAGCTGTCTTAAAACAGTGTGTGATTAAATACAGAAAACATCTTGAGTTGCAAAATATTTATGCCTGCAGGAAACCTGATGGACAGCCTGACAGCAGAATTACCCTTTCACTGACATTTCTGTCATGAGGGTTGTTTGGTTTTTTAATTCCTCCCCTCAGTAGCTTTGTTTAGGTCTGTTTGTCTATACTGTTTTTACACTATGGCATTTTTGGGTTTTGGGATTTTTGTTTGCTTGGTTGGCTTGGGTTTGGTGGTTTGTTTTTTTTTTTTTGTTTTTTTTTTTTTTTTTTTGGTTTAGTATTAAAAAGGGTAAAGGAATGATGCTGTTGTTTATTCACTGCATAGTTTTTGCTATTTTTCAGTAACTCAAAATAGGACAAATATAATCTCCTACTCTCATTAAAGCCACACTTGAGAGGAAACCAAGGCTACTTTAGAATGAGCCTTGCCAGCTGGGACGTGACTGCCAGAAACCCATTCCTCTGTGAGCAGAGGAAGTATGTTATATCCATCTGCCTTAGGAAAGAAGGAGTTATATCTCGAATTTATCATCTGAAAGTCTGGTATTTAGTGGGCTTCTCTGGAAATACTATTCTGAAAATTCTCCCAAAACCAAGCTGCTACTGTATTTTTCTCAACTGCTGAGTCTCTCACTAATAAGAAAACCAGATATCAAAGCAAACACTGGAGAAACATGCGAAGTCGTAAGATAAAATAAGAATTGTTGTCATTTTTAAGCTAGAGCTTAGAAACAGAGCCTTCCCCAAACTGAATACAGACTAGGGAATACTGCTATAATGACTCCTCCGGAATTAATTACTATGTTTACTATAAACAAAGAAATGTAAAATATAACCAAGTAGTTGTTCTTATAAATTTTCTCAAAAACTGGAATTCCTGCATAGTATGTATTTCCCAGCCTTCCAGGACATATTTGGCCACCAAAATTTGGGTTTCTCATATCCACTGATATCGCTGATCAGCCAAGCTGCTATTTTACACTTAACCAGACCTGATTCTATACTATTTGTAACAACCATCAAATTCCAAAGGGAATCTTAAATCTTATAATATTCAATCAGGGAACCTTAAATTCTTATTCAGGGTCTTCAGTGATCTCCAGCTTGTAACAAGGAGGTATTTTGAACCTGTTTTGGAGTACTTGTCTAACATATTAAGCACACTGAGTTTCAGCATTTCTTTGGAATACAGATAGCGGGTTGTGTTCAGACACAAACAGAATCGTAGAATCACTAAGGTTGGAAAAGACCTCCAAGATCATCAAGTCCAACCTTTGACCAGATACCATCTTGTCAAGTAAACCATAGCACTAAGAGGTAAAGTCAATGCTGCTTACATCTGAGTTCCATAAAATCTCCACTTGAAGGAGAACCTGAATGTTTTGATTTCCAAACAGGAAAACCAGATTTTTATGCTGTTGCTTTCTGCAGAATGGAATTTTTAGTCTGGCCTACTCTCTTCTTCTATGACTTCAAGTTTTTTTCTTCCAGGTTAACCTATTCTGTTCAGCTTTCCTATCTATTCAGTATCATATCTGCTCAATTAAAAGCCCCAATTTTTTTCCCCTCTTGTTAGAGTTTTTTTAAACACACATATATTACTTGAATATTTCTGAATATTCACATGGCAAAACCTGCATAAGCTACCCAAGTGAGATCAATATACCAATTCCTAAAAATCAAACCAAATTAAAAAAAAAAAAAAAAAAAAAAGCCACCCAAAAAACCAACATTCTGGCCTTTATATACATTTGTTAAGTAGTCCTTCCTCACAGGCTGCCACAAGCCTCCAGAAAAAATGTATGCGTGGAATTTTATCCCCCTGCAGACTGATACATCCTGAGAATTAACTATAAAGCTTTTTAATTGGCCAGGCTGAAATACGAGTATCCTGCAAGCCATGAAATAAGCAAGTGATGCTATGGAAAGCATTCAAGTGAAGACATATAAATGACAGGTAACTCACAGGAATTTATTCAGGCTAATAGCCTTTATTTTGCTTCTACCCAGATACTTGGCTTCTTAACTGGACTGCTTTATCTCAGTGTGGTCTACAGTTAAGCTTGATTAGCTGAGTAAGGAATGAAAGGATATAACTTTTTATCAGATGAGCAGTATTTAACTTTTTATCAGATGAACACTATCAAGAAACTTCAGGCATGGGAGAATTTATGCCTGGTGATTTTTTTGCAGCCTGCTCATCGCACTTACATCAAATGATAGGCACAGCTGGGTTTGCCCACCTACTTGGTAGAGGATGAGAGTTTTCCAAACCTGCGTGTCAGCACTTGCTACAAAGGCTGCTCAGTTTGATTCCAAATAAGTCACTTATCCACAAATCTTGTGAAGACACTTCACTGGGGACGTTTTCAGGGAGAACCAAAATATATGTATGCTCTGTAACAGGTACACAAGGCAAATGCCTGAGGGATGGGACATTGACTTTCAGTCCCAGATACCTGGTTCCCAAGTATCTACCATAAAGAGGAAGGGAACAACAAAATAAAAGCAAAGCAAAACCTAACCATACTTTCAAATACAAAAGCACTTTGAAGAAACTTTGTCAGAGAAGGCTCCCCAGCCACCCAGATAAAAAGCTACTGTTTTACTTTAAGAACTGAGTATCTTGCCAAGCCTGGAAAGGCTGTGCTTGTTATCTAGTGCAGAATGAAAAATACTGAAGCCCCAGACAGACCCTGGTATTCTCGAGCCAGTGCTATTAGCACTCTTTTGTTAGCTCTCTCTTGTGGTGTTACAAACAGCACTTCCAAAAGTACATGCGTAGGTGCTGCTCCTCATTCCACCCAATCTGAGGACAACAGAGGGTAAAACCAGAAAAGGGCTTTCTGCAAGATATTATTTGGGTGAACTAACTACAACCAATGCTTTAAAAAGCATAAACATATTTTACAGATGATCAAGGAAAAAACAAGTCACCACAAATCCAGACTAGGATCCAAAGTGAAGAAGTTTAGGGGATATCCTCATCATAGTACTTGTGGAGTGGTAACACACTGTAAGTACAGTGTTAAAAATTACTGTAACTCCACAGATATTCTTAGTATTCTAAGGATGCCCAGGAACGTGAAAGTGGAATCCTATACAAGATAAACTGTTAGTAACCCTTAGCCACCAGCAGAAAAGAGCATCCTGGGAGAGGGGGAAAAAAAATCAGACGGTGACAGAGTGATCAAACTGCACCACCACTGAAGTTTTACAGCAAACTAATTAACACTGCCTTCAGGGAAAAAGGTGTAAATTAAAAAGACACACTATACATTTCACTTAGATGGTCACATAGGAAGGAATATGGTCAGCTGGTTAAAATTTCTCTGGATAAAGTAATGCTGCCTTTATTCAAAACTGATCCAGGTCAGTGCAATACATTTTTGAAACTCAAGGCCAAAGAGCAACTGAAAAGATACTAACTATAGCTAATAAAAACTGGACTACATTAAAAGAACAGAGACTTAATGACTTTCAACCTCACTGCAGAAATCACATCCTCGCATCACAGTTAAGCAAAACCTATGAAAAATGGAAAGGAACACAAACAACTGATGTCATTCAAATCCTGGTTTTCTTGATAAACTTTAATCCAACAAACACCCACTACTAAACAGTGCTCATCTAATTTATGTCCTCTGCTCCCGCAAACAGGGATTTACATTAAGTCTTGACCTTGTGACATGTTGGCATGCTTGTGGGGCCAGGAATCTTGACGTCTTCCCAGGCAGCAGGACATGAGACGCCATTTCTCTTGGAGACACAGAGGGACTTTGAGCCTTTAGCTAAGGAAAAAGAGACACAGTGCTTTCAGTTGAAACTGAAAGCACAGTGCTTTTCTGTGTCTTACGCTTTCCTTACAAGGCAGGGGAGGAGGATCTGTTCAGTTTCCCAAATAAGGGATACTGTAGGCTCTGTTGCTGTGCATCACAGCGGTGTCTCCACAGCAGTAAATCATGTCTTACATGACTCATGTCAGGGTACAAGGATACACTAAATGGATTAGTGTTGCTATCTTATTGTAAAGGTTTTGTACTTTTTCGGCGATTTCTTATGGGCAGCTTTTCACAGCACTGACTCTTTTTTTTTTTTTAAGCACAGCTAATAAACTTTGTTTAACTTCTGGATTAGCTAACTTACTCTTTTATAATACTTATCTTAATTGGATTTAGCTGTGGCCTATTAAGGGCAGGCCTGTTTTTAATTCTTGATAGATAGCACAGCTGTAACTCCTTAGGGGTGATATTACCTTCATCACTATCTCTATTCTCCTACATTCCATCCATCTACAGCTTAGGGGTTCTAAGCCCAATACCCAGCGTGTGGTGTAGGGTGTAAGAAACCTGCTGCCTGCTGGGGATGGCCCTGTTACAAATTATTGCTGAACCCACACGATGGCATTGCCCAGGGAACTAGTAATATCCATGGGCCAGAATCATGCTAGGACACGTTAACATCCTCAGCCTACTCCAAACATGAACAACCTGATCTTATAGAGCAGTGTTTCACTGAGAGGCACCGGTCCAGCTTCGGGCCCCAGCGCAGACGCAGCATCCCATCTCATCTGCCATGCAATGAAGGGGCTTTAAAACACTGCAAAGCAGCACCTGTGCTTTCTGGCACTCTCTCCTCCTGGTCAGTCTCAGATCTGCTCCAGGGAAAGCTCTATTAGATCACCTCTATCTCAAGGTCTCTCCTTCACAGTGTTCTTAGTACAAGCTCATTTGTGTTTGGAATGATTGTTCTAGAATAAAGATACATTTTTATTGTAAGAATTCCACCTTTTTCTTCTGGTCCTTTAAAAAGCAGTATTTAAGAACAAACTTCTTGCACTTTAAATTCCAGGTTGGTCTGAAAATTCAACCAGAAATTTTATCTTCTGAGTTGTTTATAGGATCATATAATGAAAGCCTCACATACATTTTACAATTAAGACATTATATCTGGGGTGCAGCAAGTGTTCATTTCTCTTTCTTCTCAGTGGAGACTTTTATGTCTCTGGTAGCAGCAGATTCATTAGGTCAAACCCTCTTAATAGTAGATGCTATAGATCTAAAGTCACAATAGACAGGTGTGATACTCCTTGAAACATTTTTTTATATCATATTATTGCCCTAAAGCAGGTATATCACCAGGAACTGAATAAATATGTGTTGGTGTTTCTAAATATATCAGTGGAATTTAAAGCCAGACATGGAATTTAGCTTTAGTTAAACAACAGTGAAACCACCAATGACCATCAAATTTCTGTGATTTCTGAAGGTTATGGTGTCCCCCCTGTCACCCCCCACCCCCCAGTCTTTTCTGTTCATTATGTTACTACTAATTAAGACTAAAGAATTGAATTTATCCATGACCGGGCTATTACACACTCAGAGACATTACACTGACTGCAACTTCTCCTTAACTCATCATTAGGAAGCACACTCGTGCCAAATTTGAGCACACTTCTTCATCATATTACTGTTTGTCTTAAAAAATATAAAGATGGTGCCATAACCAGTAGGAAGTGGTTCCCCTGAAGGGACATCACTCTCCATGAGTGGGTTCCTCACCAATGTTTACTTAATCTGCCAAAAATTATCTGAGCATACTACACTTTGTAGGCTTCCAGGAAAATGTGAAAGATGAGTGAATTACTTCTGCTGAGACTGCTACTTCCAAGCAAAGAAAGAGCAGCATGTTCTGCTCTGCTTGGATCCTTCCCTCACAATTCTCAGCCTTGGATTGTCCCTTGGCAGTGGGAAAACAGCTCTTTAACTTACATGCAACTGAGGCAACCTTGAAAACTGTAAACATATTACTATTATTATTTATTTTTACTAAGTTGTCCAGTATGACACTCTCATAATCCCAAATGGTATCCCAACAAAGTCTTCTTCTCTGCAGATGATCAGACCTTATTATGGGCTCTAGAAAAATCATGTTTCCACACACTGGTGACTCACCACTTCAACTCCTCCTGCATAGGATCTTCCTCCAGAACAGCATCATCAGAATCAGAACTATGATGACTACTAAAAGCACCACAATAATCACCAGCCAAAGCAATGATGATACCTCTTCTGTGAAAACAAAACAACAAAACATCCACAGCAAATTAATCTCTTTGTGAAAAAAAGCAAAATGAGCCACAAGGATGTCTGATTAATGACAGTGGTTCCTCCGATATGGTTAAAGGTACTGCTAGGATAAATGAAAGCAGCAATTGCTCAAAAGATAAAGTAAACCTGTGTATCTTCAAAAACAAAGGTACTTGTCCACAGAAAATGTGAAGAAAAGATGTGCCTATGGCAAAGAACACTGCCATTCCTATACCTGATACAGTGACTGGCATACATACACAAGCAGAGCTTCATCTTAACACTTTCAGAAGTTTTTTTGTTCACCCAGAATTTTATTATTCTTACTTTTAAACACTTAACACTGTTGAAAAGGCAACATCAATTTTAACAAAAAAAGACAGGCTATGTTTTGCTGCCTGCAAATAGCTCTACCCAACAGCTGAGTGTAAATGTTCCTCCCCGGTTAGACATCACCACTTCATTTGACTGCTATTAATCAAAAGGCTCATTTCAATGTTCACTGACATTAGCTGGAAAACTGCATGACTTGAAATTTATTTGACTCAAGCCAAAATGATGTCTTTTAACAAAGATATGTTGAACTATTCATTTGAACTTCTTGTCCTCTAAAATATATGATTGTTAAAACAACCAGCTGTTAGCTGATTTTTTTATCCACTTAGCAAGAAATAATAACAGTTATTTAGTTTTCTGGTTTTGAGCTATACATTTGCTTTTTAAAAGACCAAAACAAAAGAATACTGGAGGAAGGACAAAATGATTAGTACGCTTTTTCAGAATTGTAATGTAATTCAGAATTAAGAACTAAATTGCTTTTGAATGTTTAGAGAGCAGATATTAAAAATCAGATCCTGCTCTTTACTACTATTCCTGTAACAATCACTTCTTGAGCATGTAATTTCAGAATCAATCCACAGCTACGAGCTGCTTTTCCTGTCTTGCTAATTTACAAGTGGTCTTCAATTTAAGGCTCTGGATAAAGAGACACATGAATTTTAAAACACTCAAGTCAGTGCTCCTGTATGAACTAAAAATGGTTCTTCAGCTTTTAATGTTTCAATTTCTTATCTGCAGAAACAGGGTGAAAGTCTTTCCAGCAGAACAGAATGTTGTAAGATATTCAGATGTTACATTAATATATCTAAGATTTCTGTATAAACCAAACATAAGTATCTTCAACTGACCCCCTCTCTGTATGCCTGAAAGTACTCTCTGACCATTACTGCAGTGGACATATGCCTTGGCAAAAAATCAGAGAAACTAAAACATCATGTACATATTATATACAACAAAACATGCAGTAAGTTGAACTGGAACATTTGATTCAGATACAGTTTGTTATGAATTTCAAAATTTCTGAGTTCATCAAGCAACCCATAGAGTTTATACTCTACTTATGGATATCAGCTGACATATTTATATTTATTTTTAAGCTGTTAAAAAAATTATGAAGGCCTACATGGAAACCTAAGTTCAACTTGCTGCACAATGGTGGATGCTGCATTGTGCCTCTAAATCCCATATCTCCCTAGCTGGTTCGTCTGGCTTTTTTCCCCTCTTGGACGGGACTCCAGTATGTTACTACCTCAAAGGCAACAGTGGACACAAATAGGATTTCCTGACATATAAAAATCTCATTCCCTCCTCTTCACAGAAGATTTCTATCCAAATATGCTACTGCAAAACATGGAAGCCAAGAGAATGCTAACAAGTTGCTTGTACTTCTCACCTACCTCCTTTTATTTTCACAGGCATTTCAAATGTTTCATTTGTGTTGCTTACTCTGCAGATCAAATCCTGTGCACTGATGCTCTGAATATTGTAGATTTCCAGTTTACTGGTGATGGACACAATCCCATTTTTGTGCTTGACTGTCTTCTGTGTAGGAGTAGAATTGAACAGGTTGCTCCAGGTGATGGTGGGCTCTGGGAGGCCATCAGCATTACAGATGACTATCACATGACCTTCAGAAATGTTGTGATGGACAGATACATTGAGACCTTCCAACACACAAATGAGACAAGTCATCACCACAGGGAGCACCTGGTCGGTCGTAAGCAGTAGTAGCAGCCTAACCATTACAAATCAGAGCAAAGCTTACTGGATTCACACTGAGCCCAATGGCAAGGAATGCAAGAAGAGTTCCTTGGGTCAGGTCCCCTCCATGACTCAATACTCCTTCCCCCATGCTGAAGTAATATACCCCAAAGATTGCACTCAATCTAAAATCCAAGTATTAAAATAATCTGTAAAGTAAAATAATTTATTGGTCCTATCTGCTAATTCTCTATCAACGGTAGGGTTTGGGAGAGCAGCTCACAGCACTGGGATTGTACCTTGCACCAAAAAGAAACTCCAGTGGGCAGTGTTGGTTTGCCCACATTCCAGCTGCGACTGATCAAAGACTTAAAAAGATTCCTCTCCTTGCTTTTCAGCTGCTACTCAAGGAGTAACAAACAACAGCCAAAACAACCACAATAATCTTGAATATGACCCACAGAGTTTTGCTCACAGCAGCAGTGCTCTGTTTCTACATCATGTTCCACCAAGGGATGCTCCCATCACTGCAATTCTTGAATCTGCTCAAGGAAATAATGTGGGTGAAAAAACACCTCTTATTTCACTAGAGACATATCCCTGCAGAGAACCTCACCAAAAACACTCAGGCAGGTATTTCCTGAGAGAGGACCAGAAGGGAAAACATTGAAGAGACACTTGTAACATCCTGAATCATCCATTCTAGTGTCCCAAAAAGTTATGCTTGTCTTGTTGAGTTCCAAACTTGTGAAATTCATTCTGTCTTCATAGGGCTTCTGAATCCTTAATCCGTTCGTTTTACTATACGTAGCTATATTATCATGTAATTCTTCTGAGTCCTTTTGCCATGTCACTTGCAGAACATCCATGGGTTTTGTCAGGGCACAGCTCAGAGTCACACTGTCACCCATCCTCACTATTGTGTGTCCAGCCTGAGGAACCACTGCAATGACAGTAAACAGTTAATTAAATGGGCAGATATCACACACATTCAGAAGCCTAATGTTGATTCTAAGGCCTGGATTACCCACAAACACAACTCCTTCAGTTACATATTGTTTCTGTGGCTTTCCCCTACAAAAATGTCCATCTCCTGCATACTCCTAGGAATCAATGAAGTTATGTTGGTTTACATTGGCTGAGGCTTTACCTTTCTTCTAAGCTACTTAAAAGACAAAAAGATTTACCAATTTTTGTACCCATATTTGCAGACTTCCCTCTTAAGTTTTACTAAATCAGCTCATGACTTCCTATTCTCAGCAAATATTCAATTTTTGTTTCCTAAGAGCTAGAGGAAGATGGAATGCATGAGAGAAGTACACACCAAGACATTATCAGAGAAGTAAACAGCAAAATGCCTTTAAAAGGATTTCTTGTCGTTTTAGAGTTCACAGCACATTTGAGATGGAAGGAAGGAAGTCCTTTTGGGATGCCCCACTCTTGGAAGCTGTCAACTCAGGCTAACAATGGTGTCCAGTGTCACTGTAGATAGGGGATGCTTCTTGTCCTTCCCATCTCTAAATGCTGCTCCAGGAGGATTTGTGTCACAACTACCAGCTGCATGTCTCTGTCTCAGCTATGTAAGAATGTAAGTCAAGCAGCACCAGCAATCTGTATTTCAACTGTGTTTGTCTCTTACTCTGCTGAAGCCTCAGAAACCTGAAACCAGTTCCCCAAACAACTTCAAGCAGGTTTCAGGAAATTCAACTTACCATTTGCCTTTCCAAGCCCAGAATACGCCAAACACAAAACCAGAGCTCGTAAAGTCATTTTGGAAGAGAAAATCTGCTTCGCCTAAAGAAAAACAAGAAGAGATGACAGATCACCTTCTGGTGATATTGTAAATTCAGGGTGCAAAAATTAACAGTAGATTTTTCATGTGAAAAAGAATGTAGTTCTGGGGTCAGACAGCAAGACTTGACAAGTTTTACTGCCCTGTTTCCTACAACTGAATTGTAGACCTGCCTGAAACTGAAGTTGGTGTTATATTCAAGAGGATACATAATTTTGCAACAAATACCTCTGTAACACACTCTACCCACTCCCACTGCTGAGTTTTTTTGCCAATGCCTGCAAAACTAGCTGAAGCATCTTGTGATCATCTTCTGTCAAGAATTTAAGCAAAGCCCAACCTTTTAAAGATTTTCACAACATTCAAAAAATAAAAGAGACAGTCAACTGAAAAGTATTTTCTATATTATACAGGTTAAAAAAAGAAGGGTTAGTAAATAAATCAATAAATAAGAGGAAGAAAAAAGTATTTAAAAACAAATTGCCAACAAACTTGCGTACACTCACAACCTGCACTTAAGTTTTAAACACACTGTGCTAAAACAACTCCTGATATAACTCTCCAGTAAGCAAGAACAAATAGAGACCAAGATGTCATACGTAGAATCAGGAAACAACATATCAGCAACAAGCCCAATGAAAAAAGTTTATGTAGTCAGATATTTGAGCACGGCTATAAGAAATCCAGCTGTTCCCACAAGCATGCAGAAATCAAGGGCCAGCATAGCAAGCAGAAGCTACCGAGTCACAGAGTTGTTTATAAAGCAGGGGAAGATGCACCGCGCCTGCAGACAAGCAGAGTTTTCAGTAACAATCCTTTGCTTCACTGCTTTAGTACCCATTAAAGCTCATAATGCACCATTGCACGTACCCGGGGTAGCTACAAGAATTCACACAATGAGGAACGAGGCTATACCGTGTAGCTATACCGGGCACAGAAAGAAAGTCCCTTTAGGTCACAACTCCAGTCACGGGTGCTGCAGGGAGTGAGGAAACAAATACCAAAACGAACAGAAAAAGAAGAAGAAGAACAAAAAAGAAAGGGAAAAAAAAAAAAAAAAAAAAAAAAAAAAAAAAAAAAGAAAAAAAAAAAAAAAAAAAAAAAAAAAAAAAAAAAAAGGCGTTAAAGACTTGGGCAAGTAAAGCGCAAATCCTTTCCTGCGTCTCCCAAAACCGCACCTCGGCGGGCTCCTGAGCCACAGGCTGTGCCGCTCCCGGGACAAACCGCCCGCCACCACTTTCTGGGAACCTCCCTTAACTTCAAAGAAATTTTCCCCCTACTGCCGTCACCCAGGTTTCCAAAGGCAGCTGCCGAGGTCCTCCCGGGCAGGAAGAGAGGACGGAGGAAGGAGCCGAGAGCCTCGGGCGGTGCCTCCAGGCTTCCGTCCTCCCGGCGGGGTCAGGCTCACCCGCGCCCGGCGCCCACTGCCCATCTCCGCCCGGAACCCTCCTCAGACACAGGAATGCGTCCGGGGAAGGCGCGGCAGGGATGGCTGCTCTCGGCCAAGTACGTGGAAACACGGGTATTCATAACAGCCCAGAAACAAATCATTTTAGGCTGTATCTCTTATATAATTGGGAGTGGTCTTTTGCTTTCGCTGCTGCCTTCCTGTTGGGTGGGGAGCAAAAGGGGCAGCAGGAGTGATACTGGAAAATCTCTGTGCTGTTTTTGTGTTGTTAGATTAGCATCTTGCGCTGATAAAACTATAACGGGTAACTTATCAGGCTTTGTTGCAGGCTTGACAGAAACAACCCGTTTCTATCTGATTAGTTAGAAACAGCATTTTTAGTGATCAGTACAGGACATTCATTGCCTGCTCTTTCTTCAGATGCTTTCATACACAGGCACACGTTCATACACTGCTCACACCACTTGCAATATTTATCTTAACAGACACTATTTTAAGTTATCATTGCTCACAGGAAAAATCAAACACCACAATTTCAACCCCTTGCCCGAATTAATTGACAAAGATGCCTACATAAACCCAGAAACTCATTCCTATTTAGGACACAGATGTGTGTGAATATTTGGAGCAATGCTACTGTGAAATACAAAGCTGTGCTTCGTGTCAGGTACATACAGGCAACATGTGTATCTGTGATTGTGATATGTGTGGAAACTGACCATGGGACAATTACAAAGACAATTCTAATAAATAACTGAGGAAGTAAAGCATGGAAGAAGGCCTTTGAACCTATCCTTTGTTTGCAATTAACCTTTATAAGTCTTAAGTTGATTTAGGAGCATTTGAATTAAAGCTTTAAGGATGTTGCTGTTTGACAGGAACTTTCTGCTTCTAGCTAAAAAGAGTTTTGCAATAATAACCTGTTGAAGTATAATTTTCGAATGTTGCTTGTAGTAAGGATCTTTGAAACTATAGCTTTAGAATATATAAAAAGGAAACATGCTTATCTCGATGCCTTAACAAAATATTGAAAAGCAGCCTGAGAAAGGAAGATGAACATCAACTCAAGGATTGATAGTTTCGACCAAGGGAAGCTGGACATAACTGCTATGAGATTTACAGTCCTCACAATTAAAAGGCAAACCCGCATCTGGAATCTGGACCTCACCAGCTGGGAGACTTCTTTCTTCTTTTGGAAGCTGGACCCCACCATCTGGGGATACTCTTTTCTGAGATACATCCTGAGAAAAACTAAATCACAGCAGGGTATAGAGTTGTTATGGAAAAATTGGGAATAGAAACTGCTGAGAAAGCTTATGAGTACTCCTAGAAATACCTGTAAGCCCCAACTATCAGTGTGCAGTTGGAGGGAAAACTTCCCCCGCTGTACCCAGCGCTGTATTGCTCATACTTTACCATATTAATTAATAAATTGATTGCTGCTTGACTATTGGCCTAGTCAAGCTTCCCATTTATAACACTGCTAAACTGTCTTAAGGAGGAAGGTGATGTTTGCATCTTTCCCAAGTCATCCCGGGCCCACCATGTGTTAACCTCGCCTGTCCTGCTGCTCTCAGTACCTTGGTGCACAAAGGAGCGCCTTTTGACCTGTAGAAATAGAAAGCTTCTGCTGTCCCCAACAGATTTGGCCCAGCTTGTGGCTGGGATCTGGAGATCAGGGCAGTGTCTCTTCCAGGTGGGTAGAGCTGTACTTGGGAGACACCTTCCCCACCACTGTGCTGGATTTATTGCTGCTACCTTTTCCCTCTGCCAGCTAACTAACCAAAGCCCCTTGGCTTTTCAACAAAATTTCAACTTTACCACTACCTTTATTTCTACCTTTCTTTTTATCTCTTAGGATAAATCACTATGTCTTAAATCACTTACATTTCACTCCACCAGCCTTGCCCTTTTTGTTCCTTCTAAAACAGGCCAGCAACTAACCCACCAGTTGTTTGAGACTAATGTAATAACACTTCACACTCTTTTTGTTTTAACAACAAAAATATGTTAGCAAGTTTCCTGTGCTCACGTGCCTTCACTATAGCTGAGGGGATTTTAGAGGGAAGTCCAGATAACTGCCCACTGCACAGATTAAAATAAATTTATCCAGCAGTGCCCTGTGCCATCAAAGCAACAAAAGGAGGGAAATCCCAGTGATATCTTCCTGCTCTTATTTCATGAAAATAAAGGGGACTTTGGAGGGATTTGAGTGATATATTACAGTAACATAACTACTGAGGTGGCAAATTGCCTGTATTTAGGCAAATGTTATTACTTGTTCAGTGGGCTGGAGCAACCTAGAGAAGAAAGAAGAAAATTATGAAAGGGTCTGCAAATCAAGAGGGCTGCTCCTTTGGAAGAGAAGCTGAGCAGGGAAAGGATGATCCTGAAATAGTAGGCAAAGACCAGAGGTAACCTCAGGGCAGACAGAGGGAAATGAAAATACTCCAGCCAAACCAGCAATAGTGGAATATTCAAATTATTTTTATATTTAGAGGAGAAAAAGGCACAAAAATCCCCTTCTACCTTATTCTATGTTTGAATGTCAACTGTTGCTTTTTACAGGAACCTGGCTCAAGTCAGCAATCTTTACCAAGCTTTATAAGGTTCTTTATACGTTATGTTTTCTGGAGCTGGTGGTAGCCAAGGTGACATGGACTCTCTGGTATTATAAATCCTTTGAAGTTAGTGAGAAAGAGAGTAAGTAGAGAGCTCTTGTCCAAAAATTCAGAGAGGTCTTTGTTCATTTTTAAAAATTTATTTAACTGTAATACACCCTGTATGCTGGTGGAAGAAGCAATTTAAAATTCCTTCTGTCATGAATGAGATTTATTCTTCATTCTTTCCTCTGCCTTCTGTGTGGACACATTTCACTGTTAATATATTTCTTCATTCTTCCCTTGATTTCTGGACTACTGACTTCTTATAAGCAGAGCCATTTGAACCACTAGCCAGCAAAACCTGTACAGGCTTAAGGAAAATATATGATACAGCTGATCCAAGCTGTCATTACTTAACAGCAGAAAGGAAAAAAAAAAAAGGGTGAATGGAGTCAGTGACATAGATTCCAGTAAAACCAAACACATTAGGTTGTACAGGATGTCTTCCGGAGGTTTATATTAGAACATCTGTTCTGCTGATTGAACTCCTGTCTGGCTCTGCTTACATCAATTAGCATATCCCTCTTAATCATCATGCTCAGGCAGTGCATCTTCAGGTTGCAAATGCTTATATGGATCTACTAGAAGGTCTAACCTGGTTCAGAGGATCTGCCACCAGCTGTCATTTTGCTGGTGATTCGACCACTTGATCACAGTCAAACCACATCTCTGTCTCTCAAGCTTACTTCTGTAAAACAAGGAAAGGTTAAATTGTTTAATTTAACCTTTAAAGGTTAAACGGTTAAAAGTTTGAGATCCTGCCAATTTCTCCAGCGCGAACTGCACAAGATTTCTCCGTAGGGAGAGTTAGACGTAGGTGGGGATAAAAGGACAAAAAATTTCTGGAGTCCATTTCAGTGTCAATCATCCATGTATAAAGGGCGACTGGATTGAGGAAGAGGAGCACAAAGGGGAGAAAAAGGCATGGAGTGGATGTGGAATTGGAAAATTGGAAGAAGAAGAATGCGACCGTGGTAGTGAAAGTTTTAGTCCATAACAGGGCAGACAGGGGTGGGTGGTGGGAGGGCACACAGGTAGTGCAGTCCCTGCTGCAGCAGGTGGTAGGAGCTGAGGAATGCATAATTGTTAAGGTGTTGTATGTAGATTTGTTTTACACGGGCACACACACACACACACACACACACACACACAGAGTGTTACCTGTTATTAAGGGGTCCTTAAGTGATTTTAGCTTTTGAGAAAAATAAAGAAAAAAGCCTAGCAATACTGCTGGGCTTGTAGTATTGTGAAACACTGTTTCCAATACAATGTGTTTTTTATAAAGCTGCTGCTGTATAAAGTAGGGTTGTGGAAGAGAAGGGCCATGAGGGCCCATGACAGGGGGCCTCAAGGGGACAAGAGGGACTGAGAGAGTAGATAAGGTTGCAGCTTATCTAGCAGGGACTTTCCTCTAGCTGCAGGCAGAAGAGGCATAAATTATGAAGTTGATGGAAGGGTTTTGAAAGGATTTTGGGTTTGGAAACTGATGAAGGGTATAGTACCGTAGAACAAACTTGTAGGGAAGACCCAGGGAAAGTTGTGTAGCTATGTGGTGATTGGATATGTTATTCCTAGGGATCTGAGTAAGTTGTTAGAAGCAGCATGGAACACGTACAATAATTAGGAGCGAAAGCTGTGTTAGCAGAACAAAGCCCAGTTGGGGGGGGTGGGGGCGGGGTGGCATCATGGGAGAGAGACAGAGAAGGAATTGCAGGCACAGTTGTACAGAGGTCTGTGTGCTATTTTGTTAAGAGAAGGGCCATTGTAAATGAGAATCTCTGTGGGGAAAAGGACAAACATGACCTAAATCTCCTGATCAGGCAGGAAGGCTCCCCCTGTTAGAAGATGTGTGATGGGGACTGGAGGTGTCATCCCCAGCTAAACCTGTGGGGATTACATTAACGCAGGGAATGACAAACGGAATTTCTTAGTAGATACTGGAGTGGTGTATTCAGTCTTAAATATGCCTAAAGGAAAATTTAGTCCGAAACAATGTTGGTGTGACAGAGCAAAAGGAAAATTGGCCTTTCTTTCAGCATTAAAATTTGGAATTGGTAAATTGGTGTTAGCATATCAATTTCCTTATACACCTGAATGTCCCATACCAATAGTAGGAAAAGATGTGTTGACTAAATTAAATGCACAAATTATGTTTGAAAAAGAAAACATTCAAGTTTCTGGCCACAGGCTCCTCTGTTACCATGCGCTGGTTGGGTTTGTCCTGAGGCTGAGGGATTGGTGCAGCACTGCAGAGGCCTGTGCCAGCTCAGCTGAACTGTTCTGTGGAAAGGCTTCACCTTGTAACTTAGCAGGGTACTTGCAGTTTAGGAGATTCGCTGTTTCACACGGGCAAAGAAGTCAACACCAGGAAAGAAAGGAGGCTATCTGTCAAACTGCTGAGCCCCTTTCTAAAAAGGAACTGAGCCTGAATGCAGCAAAGCCTTTCAGGAATTGAAGCATGCTCTATTAACTTCGCCTGCACTGGGACTACTGGACTTGGTAAACCTTTTGAACTGTTTATGCATGAAAAATTCCATTTGGCATTGGGGGTATTGACATAACAACTGGCATCCTAGAAGAGCAAAGGATGGTCAGCCTGCCTCAGGAGAGTAGTAGCAGCAGTCCTCCAAATCCAGGAAGTAAAAAGAAAATTAACCATGGGGCAGCAGCTGACTGTTTTTGTGCCTTGTACAGTTGTAGTGATGTTGGAACAAAAAGAAGGACACTGTCATCACCAAGTAGAATGTTAATGTACCAGACAGTACTGCTAGAACAAGATGACATGGAATTAAAAGTAATTAACCTGGAATTAAAAGTCACTAACCTGAATCCAGCAGTGTTAACAGCTGACTCATTATGAAAGGAACTGGCCCATGATTGTTTGCAGACCACTGAACAGGTGTACTGTTGTTGAGATGACATATAGAACTTGGAAGACATGGATTGGGAGCTCTTTGTGGACGGGAGCAGCTTTGTGAAAAATGGAATCCGAAACGCCAGTGGTAACTCAGCGTGACGTAATAGAAGCCAAAGCTATAAACCCAACATATCACCTCAGAAAGTAGAACTGATTTAATTGACAAGACCATTGGAGCTCTCACAGAATAAGATTGTAAATATATGGACAGACTTAAAATTTGCTATTGGAGTGGTCCATGCCCATGGAACTGTTTGGAAAGAGAGGGCTGTTAACCTCCCAGGCATCTCCTGTGAAACATGGACAAATAATACAGAATTGTTAGAGGGGGTGCAGCTACCTTGAAAGGTGGCATCAATGCTTTGTAAAGCTCATCAGTCTGGAAGACCCCAGTAAATACTGGAAATTGCCTGGCTGAAAAAGGAGCCAAGGAGGCCTCTGGTGGGTACGTCCTTTTGGGTTTACCTGAGAAATAACAGTATTTGGACAAGCAGGCTTCTGATTATCAGGCTAAGTATGAGAAATTGGCAGAATTGTTAGATGCTGACGAGAGTCCTGAAGGATGGTGGATTATATCCAGCTAACAAATCAAGATGCCCCAACACCTTATGAAGAAAATCTCAGGAGAAGGACATATGGTAACTCACTGAGGAATAGAATTTATGGTAGAAGCAATGAAGCCTCAGGTTTTGAACACAAGAATAACTGGTATCATAAAAAGCATTGTTAAAAAGTGCCAAACACTTAAAGAACAATGCACATCAAATTAGATAGCCTACACACACACCTGTGACTGTTAAAAAAGGAAATTGTCCAGAAGACTATTGGCAAATAGTTTTGCTGAGCTGCCATGATAAAAGGGCCACAGGTATATATTGGTACTGGTAGATACCTTTTCAGGATGGCCAGAAGCTTCTTCTTAGTGTGCTAACAAAGCTAGTAAAGATTTGGTGAAGGAAATTGTCCTGAGGTTTGCAGTATCAATAAGAATGTCACCAGACAGAGGTTCACATCATTGCTGAAATATCAAGAGCCCAGCTAAAATGTTAGGGGTAAAGTGGGGCTTGCACACTCCATGGAGACCTCAGTTGAGTGGGAAAGTAGGAGATATGAACCAGCGTCTGACAGAATATATTCAATCCCATGGGCAGGTGTTGTCTTCTCTCCACAGATACATTTATTTTGCTGGCAGCATCCATGATACTGGACATCACAGCTCATCCATACCAACCAGGAGGCTACCACAAAACTTGGACTGAAGAGCCTCTCCAAGAAAAGTGGAAGGGACCATATCAAGTGCTGCTAACCATCAATACTAGGTGAAGGTGCAAGAAGTAGATTTGTGGCTCCCCAACTTACGATGGTTAAAACAACTCTTTGTACTTATTGTGCTGATCTTACTCATGCTCTTGATCACTTGTTCCAATACATACTGCTGTACAGACTAGGCCAATACAGTAAGTGGATATGAGACTTTGAAGAAATTATATTAAAGTCTCAAAGGGGCAATTTTTTTACCAAACAAGTATTTACCAAACAAGTATTATTATGAATAAACTGATGTTTATAATATGATTTGTTGTTATTAGGAATTAATTGTTGTTGACTATGTAACCTAGCATACTGCTTGTATAATTTATTTCCCAGTTTTTGGTGACACAGTGTCTTGGTTTAAAAGACAAATGTCTGCCAAGGAAGGCGTGAACCTTCCTGGAATGCAAAGATGACCCCTCCTTCAAAATTATTGTAACTTCGAAATTACAGAGCTTTGAGGCAAAAATACAGGAAAGGAAATAACAGTTCTTTACTAGAAAATATGTATGTGTGTAGATGTGTAAGAGAGCAGAACAGACAACACCACAGAAACAGAAGTTTCACACCTGCTGAGTGCCGTGTTTCCCCTCTGGTGTAGTATGACACAGCTGGCAGGGGAGGAGACAGAGAGCGTACCATGGTCTCCTCAGCCGGCACCGGGAGGGAATGAAGAAAATTGCTCCTTTTGCAAACTCAGGGGCAGCGTTCGATCTCAGCACTACCAAGGAGCAGCTGGCAGAAGCAGGGGAAGCCGGCAGATTCGACCTTGGTGCCGAATTGCAGCGTAGCAGTGTCCTGGAGCCGAATGCACAACTATCCCACAGCACCGCGGGTGTCCCACAGCACTGCGCGACCGCTCCCTCTGCTCCGCAGAAACGGCAGGAAGGGGGGAAGGACTCTTCCCCTGCAGTGAAGTCTCGGGCAGAGCCCAAAACTTCTCACACAACATCCCCAGTGTTATAAATAAATATGTATTTGTTGGCTTTTGCTATGATTTATTGGCTTTTACAAATTATATTGCTATAGTAGATTTTGTAATCTCTTTTTAACTGCTTTTAATAGAGAATAATTTGTCAGCCTTTTATGGTTGCCGTAATCCCTGCGTAGATTGTATATTTTAGTGTGATAAAATATAGTTTAGGCTTTTGAAAAATATTAAAATAGAGGCTATGTGCTGTGTATTATAACATTAACTTTTGTGGAAGTAATTGTTGCGAAATAATAACTAATATCTTTACTTTTGTAACTAACTAACTAACTAACATAGTGAAATAGCTAATATTGATTGAAAGTACTTGTAAAAATGGCTAAGATGTCTGTGTGATAAAATAACATTGAAAAGAACCAGGCAAATAGCACCAAAATAGCAAGGAAGAATCTACCATTGACTCTTTGGCTATCAATAACTGTCAAATCACAAACCAGGGGACTGTGAGAAATGCTACTCTTTTCCAAAAATGTAGAAAGGTTTATAAAAACCTTATCAAAAACACAACAGAAGACTGAATAGAGAAAACACTTCTGCACCAGGAGCAAAGGATCTTTCCCACCATGTTCTCAACCAAACAATGGAGGTTTTGCCTTTAACCCTTTAGCTCCTCCCAAAGTTCTGTCCATCGACTCCTTTGCTCCTTTGCTGTCCAGTGGTGGAGTTAACTTCCTTAAATATTGATTGGAAGTCAGATGTTGTTGTCGGTTGTTGTTGTTGTGACAAGTCAACCGTCCCAAACCCAGGCTGTTCCCTGATAGTAAAACATAAACTAAATCTATAAAACTTCTCTAAACATATATACATCATGTTTGCCTTTTAATTGTAAGTCAATCATCGCATTACTCATCTATTACAGCACCTTCTGAGAAAATAAAATATAAGGCTCTCAAAGTCACATCTGCATTGTGCCACTGTAGTACGCTTACTGTACTCTTAAGACGATCAGGTCAGGGCTAAACTAAAGAATTCGTGGAACTAAGGTAAAGAATTCCCAGAACATGTGAACTCAGAGGAGTTATGTATATGCATAATCTTCATGAATATGCATTTGACCAATGCCAGGAAAAACTTTATAAGAAGAGTTGTTATAGTTAACTGTGTGCATCTGGCTATGGCTACGCACACAGTGCTGTTACTTTTGCTTTATCCCTTATTAAATTAACTTTAAAAAGTGAGCCTTGTTTCTCACATCCAGCCTCCCAAACTGTGAGGGGGAGAACCCATGCCCCCATTCAAAACTCCCAAACCCCTAAATGCTTCTGTTGGAATGCCAGAGGTACCAGACACCTCCCTTTGTGTCTTAATTGCTGTATATTCACTGAGGAAGCTGCCCCCTTCCCCTTCCAGCATCCTCCTGGTAAGACTAGGAGGAAATTCACTGAGAAACCTAAATCCAGCCCCCACAAGAAACATGGAGATGAGGCCATACCTTTTCCCTTGCTTCAGCAGTCTCCTAACCACTCAGTTGGAGTACCACTGGTTACTGTCTCACAGTACTGAGCCTGCATATTTTCTTTCCACAATTTCCACTTTCCTGTAAAAAAAGTTAACTTTGAAAAACAGTACTTAAACATCATCTTGTGTTATGTTTATACACATACATTTGATGGCTTCCAATCAAAACCACAATGGAAGAGCACACACGCATTGACGACAACCATGAAAAAATACACAGATAAATTCTCTACACACTTAATTTCAGAAAACTCTAATTTGAAGAATACCAAGTTGCAGCCCTCACTGTAACCCGCATGCATGCAACATAACAGATTTCAAGGCAAACTGAATTAGCATGAGATTTTCAGAACTTGAGGAATGATTGTCCTTTAATGCTGAGCAACTCTTGCTTAAAACATGACTTGAGATTAATTTCTAAAGGTCCCTTGGCCAAGAAGCCTGAGGTTACTTTCTAAAGGTCCATTCACCAAGAAGCTCAGCTGCATAAAATCCTGCTGTGTGAAGAGGCAGCCCTGGGCACAATTTGCCAGAGGAATTTGGGCAGTCTGGCACACCAAGGTGGTTGTGTGCACACTAGAAGGGAACATGTAGTGGCTCTATCATGAAATCTGTACCTTCCAAGTACCTCAGCCAATGGAGAGGGCAGAGGGTGATGAAGCCAGGAAATTAGGATAAATAGGAGGCTGTACTCTTCAACAATTTGAGAGACCCCAGGGGAACTGTCGCATGGCCTTTCCCTTCATTTGAATAAAGTTATAGGACATCTCTGTCTTCTTTTGGACATTGTTATGTATATTATATGTAATTTGTGCTGATAGAATATATATAAAGGAATAAAATATAAAACCTTAAAATCACACTAGCAAGGGAAAAGGGGATTGCTTCACAGGGTGGCGAACCCGCAGCTGGCAGCCGAGGAGGAGGTGTGTCATTAACACACGAAGTGAACCTAGCCCAGACACCAGATGGGCGTTCTCACTGGCAGGAACGAGAGAACGCCCAGCGATGATGGCGCATGAAGATGTTCATCTCAGACAGACAGGACCATCAAGGACATACATCTGCATGCAGATTCGGTAACTGAAGAGTGAACACATCAGTTCCTGGACGAGATTTTGTCCAGCACAGGACAGAGAATAGAGGCAACTTGAATATGAAGAACCCTGAGGAGAGACAAAGGGACTACCACCCCGGGCAAGAAAAAGGGTATAAGAACGGACTCTGCCAAGCGGCGTTCATGAACTGTGGGGGATTCAGTGCGATAGAGGCTGAATCTGTGTTCGCCCACCTTCGATCCTGGGGTCGGTGCTGTCCTTGATTCTTGGCTGTGGGACTGTGTATCGGTTGCAAATAAATTTCATTTTTATTTTTATTAAATTTGCTGGATCAATTTTTACCTGTAACAGACATAAACCTCATAAATCATTAATTAATCTGCACATCCTCTAGCAGTGCACTGTCTTTTATTCATCACTGGCCAGCCTTGAAGTGTGGAGAACAGACTTGGGAATCTTTCCACATTCCTTTCCCTGACCCTTTGAAAGACCTCTTTCTCCAGGAGAGGAAAGAAGAACTGATATCCAGTGCCCAAGTTCCTTCATCAGTCCCTTTTGTGAGAAACAACTGCTCACTTTGAAAATTAAAAAAAAATAATTTATTAAACCTTAACAAAAATACAACAAAGGACTACATAAGGAAAAAGTTACAGCGCTGGGAACTGCCCTTGTGGATACCATGTGGCATCTTCAAGATGGATGCTCAGTCTTTTATACCCCTGGGGGTTGCATCAGCCAGCCCTGGCCCCTCCCAAAGTCTGTCAGTCATCTCTTCTTTGCCATTTATCAGTGGAGACTGCTTTCTTGAAACTTGATTGGGGATCAGTTGTTGCCATGCTGCACCCCCTAAGCAACAAACTTTTCCATTCCCAACTGCCTCAGGTAAGGGACACACATGCATGCCTTCTCTGTACCTGTCCTAGACAATCCCGGCTGTCTGATGGTCACAATACAGAGAGGGGGGAAAGGGAACTATGGGGAGAACAGAGGACATCTAAACTACAATAACATAACTATACATCACTAAAGCTTTTCTTAATATTCTTAATAGTTATCCTTTAAATGTGAGAGCCAGTATCTCATTATCCATCTATAACACTTTCAACATCTCTTCCAGCAACCACAGTCAGGGTCTGCTGCTAAACAACCCTGATAAAGTAATTTCATATCATGGATGATATGAAATGGTTGTAATGGTGGTTGTAATTTATTGATGTCAGAGATGGGGGTTGTTAGATACCGAGAGACTATCTGAAAGTCCAAAGAAGAAAAGCACAGTGCTGATGAGTTGATATTTTAATGGAAGACTCACTGGTGGTGTTTTCCTTTCAGGGAGTGGATTGGGGATCTCTCCAACTAGTGAATTGAAGAACTTAAATCCAACAGTAAAATTCTGTTAAATAGGGCATTCCTTTATTACAGTGCTGGAGACAATGCTGGAAATTTTTTGCCATGAGCATGTCCCATGAGACACAGTTCCCTGGGGTTCAAATACACTGTCACACTTCGGATTTCCTTACAGCTACTCCCAGAGTCTGCCCAGCCATTACATCCATGGTGTCTTCTCCGATATTGTCTTGGTGTGTAGCAGGGCTGCCATATTATGCCATCCTTTACCCGTTATTGCTTTGATTAGGAGGCTTTGTTACTTCATCAGAGGGTCTTTGTTATTGTCTTCGTCACCTGCCCTCTGGATGACCCTTTCATGTTGGCAGCTCCCAGCACATGTGTGATTCACTTCTGCTGACCCCTAATTTTTTATTTTACTGTACTAAGTCACTGCTGAGATGCATTTACCTTAAGTTAAAGATAACCCAGAACTCCTCTTACCTAAGCAATTTCCTATTGAATTTGCTTCCACAAAACAAACCTCTATTTATTAAGTTTTCTTAGGTGTATAGGTCTATGGAGTTATTTCCTGCATGTGAAAAATATGTAGTTTTTTTGGCTGACTATTTGCAATTTTAAAATGAATATTGTATGTGTTATGTTAGAAAGTTATGCTGTATTAATTTTCTTAAGTAGTGTGTTAAATATAGTTTTAGGTTATAACATAATGTTAAAATAGAAACTATGCTATGTAAGATGTTTTTTAAGAAAGGAATGAGGTACTCTAAATAGCAGCCACAGGACACCTAAATCTTTCAGAGAAAGAGAATTTATTGCTCTTTTATCAGGAGAAACAAACTTCTTCCCACCTTGCTCAGTCATGAAGGCGCGGTTAGGATTAAGAGGAAGAAGTTGATGATGACCAGACAGAGTCCTTTGTTTGAATGAAATTTATGCATGATGTATGAGATGTTTGATTATGCAACAGGCTGTTGTTTTTAAGGGTTAATCCTCTGTTAACGAGTGTCCTTTTTCGGGTTTATTTTACCCAGAGAAAGGTACCCGGATGTCTGTAACTCTTTGTTCTTATTGTCTCGTGTTGTCCTAATCCCAATTGTTCAAATTTTTATTACTCTATTACTATTCTTATAACCATTTTATTTCTATTAAACTTTTGAAATCTTAAAAACGAGTGATTGGTGTTTTTCACACTGCAGGTTCAAGTTCAGCTATTTCTTAATTTTCTTGGGCTTTTAATCT